CCGTTTCTAGGTATCCTAATTACTAGACCATACGGGATATACAAAACGTATTATTATTTCGGGAGCGCAATTATCTTTGAAATGATTTCATTTAAAGAAAAAACAAAAGAAAACTTTTTTGTATTTTGTTCAACAATTTTGACGATTGACAATGCCATTGAGAAAATATGAACATTCGTCTGATTGTTTATAAAATATAATTTTTCTACTACCTTACTAGAAAACTTAATTTTCCACCCCCGAGCGAGGGAGAAAAATGCCTCTTTTCCTCCGCGGGAGGAAAAAAATTATCCTCCTTTTTTTTAACAATTTTACATTAGCAAGAGTTTTTGTACCTTGTATAGCCCTATTTGATTTTGTAGGAAAAAGATTTACTCCGCGCTTGTCCAACCATTCTTTTAACAAACTATTCATGTTCATATCGCTCTTTCGATTTTTAATGAAGGAAATTAATTGCAATTATTCTTGCTTTTAACCAAGATCTTGCGAAAGGTCTTCTTTGCTAGAACTCATTTTCAAAACGTAGGAAGAATTTCAAATTTATGATAAACATTTTGACAGCTTATAATAGTTATTTATGTATTAATGGCATAATAAGGTTTTTATTATAAAAACCAGTTATGCCAGCAATGCATACAAAACTTTATGCACGATTAATATATTATTATTTTTAATATATTATTGTTTTTAAAGACGTTTACGTCAAAGAATTTTTGTTATAATTGTCATATTATAATGTCAACTGACATCAGTCAGTTTTAAAGTTTAAAGATAAATGAAATTGAGGAAGCAGCTGAAAAGGCGAAAAATTGCGGCCTGCTGCCGGAAAAATCAAAATCTTTATACGAAAAAACTTACTTCGAATATATCAAATGGTGTAACATTGTTGTTTTTAATTTTTGACGTTTCATTATAGCCCGCTGGGTCATAATAACGCCCGCGGGCTATAAAAAGACGTTTACGTCAAAGAATTTTTGTTATAATTGTCATATTATAATGTCATCGTGCATAAAAACTGTTATGTTTGTATTAACAAAAATACCATAGCAACAAAGCGTTGTCAACAAAACGTCGGCGACGCAATACCTACTTAATATTTTGTCATAATTTTATAGCCCCATACCGGGTTAGTAAAAGGAACTGGAACGCTTAAAATGTCTTAAACCCGTTAAAAGGTAATAGAAAAAACTATATACATACCTCAGGGGGAAAAGGCGTTTCCTCCCTTGAATATTTAATGCCCTTCGCTTCGCGTCGAGCATTAAACTATTCGCGGGAGGAAAAGCACTACTTTCCTACTATTCACATCAACTACTGTCTGTCCACTCTAAGTTGGCGGAACTAAGGAATTTTGTTGTTTATATATTAAACAATTGTCGTACTGTGTGCTTTTAAAACAGATTTTATATTAATAATAATACTAGTATATATTATTTTGTTATTTTGTTGTTTAGATATTAAAGAATTGTCGTACTGTGTACTTTTAAAACAGATTTTATATTAATAATAATACTAGTATATATTATATACTAGTATTATTTATAATATAAAATCTATTTTAATAGCACACAGTACGACAATTCTTTAATATCTAAACTACAAAATTCCTTAGTTCCGCCAACTTAGAGTGGACAGACAGTACTTTACTGAAGATAAAGTCATAAATGTCAAATATTTTTTTCCTTTTTGTAACCCCATCCCTGGACATACTGTATGTTCCTTAGTTCCGCCAACTTAGAGTGGACAGACAGTACTTTACTGAAGATAAAGTCATAAATGTCAAATATTTTTTTCCTTTTTGTAACCCCATCCCTGGACATACTGTATCATAAACTATAGCTTGCTTATGTAATATAATAAATAGTTTGTGGAGTAAAATGTCTGCCTCGGAGCTTAAACATTTACAGGAAAAGCTGAAGGAAAAAGAAAATAGCACTCTCATAAATTTGCACAATTGCCGGAAACGTTCAGCAATCGTAAGGCGGATGTCGGTCTGGTCTACACTGCATTACATCATTGTTACACTGTTTCTGCAACGAGAATCGGAACAGAAAAATTTGTGAGGGTACATTTGTTAAACCCAATTTTAAGAGTTTAAGATACAGGGAACACATGTATTTTTTTACATTTAAAAAAATTGTCTAGCTAAAAAGCTCTTGATACTTGGATGATTCAAAAAATGTTTCAAATTAGTCCGATAAAAAGATTTTGTATCTCACCAATAAATGAATATAAAACCCAATACATATTTTAATAGGAAATCAAATGCTCCATAAAAAGGTAACCTATAGGTAAACCTTATATGGTTTTTTCGTAAACCTATTCATTCGAAAGATATCTTGGATCAAAGTTTAAAAACTTTTAAATGGTTTTAAAACTCTTACATCTTAGAATATATGGTGAATATCCAACTCAGGGATTTGACCATGATTTGCTACTATCGACATTTGAATTTAAATCTCTAGAAAATAGAAGGGTTATTGCATCAATTTCAATTTTGTTTAGGTTGCTTAATTTTCAAAGTAGTGATTTGCTTTCTCAAATTAATTTTTCGGTGCCAAGATTGACTAGCAGAAATTAAACTACTTTTCTTCCAAGCTTTAATAGAACTAATTTGGGACTTAAGTCGCCTTTATTTGTAATGTGCAGTAACTTTAATAAATTCTGTAAATCTTGTGATATAAACTTTAATACGCTTAGATATACAGGGTGTTTCAGAATAAGATGCTGAACCTTAAGGGTGTGAATCCTTAGTTGATTTTAAGAAAAAAAGTTCAGATAAACCTATGACCTAAACCTCTTAATTTTTGAGTTACAGGGTGTTAAAGTTTTAAGAAAAAAATCGTTTTTTTATCATAACTTTAATACCTTCCTAGATATTTTTATAAAATTTGGCACACGCCTTCTAAGCATTAACAGTAAGTTTTTGATGTAGAAGATTTTTTATTTTTTGTACCATTGGCGTCCGTACAGGATGTGATCTAGATATTTTTGGAAAAATATTATGCACGCCACTGCTATTTTTCAAAATAAAATTTTTTTTTTAAATCTCCATTCATTTTAGGGCAAATTTTATTTCCTGACCATTTTTCGTACGGCTAACGGTTTTCGATGAAAAAAATAAAAAGCATTTAATGCGCGTATTGAGAAAAAATGCCATGATTAAATAAATATTAAAATTAAATTTAATTATAAAATAATTTTAAAAGAACTAGCATTAAATAACGTAAACAAAAATAATTTAGATTAGCTGTTGAAAGTGGCCACCACCTGAAAATATGCATGCTTCAGCTCTTCTCCTCATTGAGTTTCGTACCCTTAGAAAAATTCCTGGAGTATTTCTGATAGTGTCACAACAAACTATTATGCGGTTTCTCAACTCCTCCTCAGTATTTATTGGGGTGCTGTAAACTAACGCCTTAAGATGTCCCCATAGGAAAAAATCTAGACTGTTTAGGTCTGGCGATCTAGGTGGCCACGATTGTATTCCTCCGCGCCCTATCCAGCGATTTCTATAATGTTGATTTAAAAATTCCCGTGCCTGGAGACTGAAAGTTTATAGCCTCATTTTCAGAAATTATAGGCACATGGCAATATGCGCATTAAATGCATTTTATTTTTTTCATAGAAAACCGTTAGTCGTACGAAAAATGGTCAAGAATTTGCCATAAATTTTGCAAAATAGCAGTGGCGTGCATAATATTTTTTCAAAAATATCTAGACCACATCCTGTACGGACGCCACTGGTAAAAAAAATAAAAAATCTTCTACATCAAAAACTTACTGTTAATGCTTAGAAGGCGTGTGCCAAATTTTATAAAAATATCTAGGAAGTTATTAAAGTTATGATAAAAAAACTTTTTTTTTCTTAAAACTTTAACACCCTGTAACTCAAAAATTAAGAGGTTTAGGTCATAGGTTTATTTAAACTTTTTTTCTTAAAATCAACTAAGGATTCACACCCTTAAGGTTCAGCATCTTATTCTGAAACGCCCTGTATAATTACTAGGGATGGGATTTTAGTTATTTTACCTTTTTTCAACCGATGTAACTATTTGAAAACCAATAACCATATATTTTAATTTTTCAGTTTATTTTCACATATTTGTTATACATTTTTACGTATTTTTAATTATTTTATTTTTTTGGGTTCTTTTTAAATTTTCCGCCAATATTTTATCCAGGGCGTGCAACTCAACGGTATAGAATTTTTTCTTATGGTCACAGACTTTAACAGTAACTTTCTTTACAGTTACCTTCTTTGTAGTGAGCTTATGTTCTGTCAGAGTCTCTGGTTCTGTCATAGAACTTCTGTGTAGTGAGTGTCACTCAGTGAAATACAGTTTATTGCATAGAAATAGTTTATTGTGGGGATGTTCTGTGTTTGGGTATGCGGCTAAACAAAATTATAAACGAAACTTGAACTTTTAATGTTTTTTTTTACCTAAAATGCTGTTTTTTAACCTAAAATGTTTTTTTAGTACCTTTTTAGTTACCTATTTTTCAGTTTTTAGTACCTAAATATCCCATCTTTAATAATTACATATGTTAATAAGCATCTTTAAATGTTTAGTTTGTAAACTAACCAACAATCCTCTCATTTTTGCCCATTTTAGTTGGGATTTTTGCTCAATGGGGCGGGGGGGGCCCAATGGGGCGGGGTCGGTTGGGTTGTGTTGTTGAGTTTGGGTTGGTTTGGGTTTTTTTCTCTCATTTTTGACCATTTGACCAATGGGGTGGGGGGGCCAATGGGGCGGGGTCGGTAGGGTTGTGTTGTTGAGTTTTCTAACAAGGAAGCGTTAAAATTTTGCCTATTATTAATTTTAAAAACGTTAAAATGCACAAAACAAATCCGGTTAGCTGGCGGTAAACTGTTGCTGCGTTAAACTGTTGAGGCGGTAAATACCTGGCGACAAATTGCTAACGGTGAATTTCTGTCGATAAATTGTTTCTACGATAAATAGCTGGCGGTAAACTGTTGCGGCGATAAATTGGTGCGGCTATAAGTTGCTGGCGGTAAATTGCTGGCGGTAAATTGCTGGCGGTAAATTGTTGACGATAAATTTTCCTAGACCCATTTTTTATACTTTGAATACTATATACTATATAGTATATAGTACATATGTATCTTATTTAAATGTCCTGTAATGGTTTAAACTGTTGGGCAATAAATACATTATTATTATTATTATATTATACATAATTAAGTATTAATTAATAAAATTAAATAACAAACTATTTATTACATTACATAAGCTAGCGATAGTTTAAAAACGAAATTGATAATTTTTATTGTTTATGGTTCATTTGCAATTTTGATTTTTCTGAAAAATTTTCTCCATAGAGGAGTAAACAACCATAAAAATACCTTACGAAATAATATCATTATTATCAGCCGTAAAAAACGAAATAAACGATTTAAACCGAAAATAAAATATGAAGACGAGAACTTACTCCTGTCTATAAACTTGAAGGTGCCGGAAAAACCGGTCGCGTTGCCCGTTTGCGGTCCGGAGTGGAACTCGAGCACGAGTCCGGGCCCCGAGGAGTAGAGAAACGTGGGGACGTCTGCCAGTCCGCCGCACAACATGCTCTCCCACGGGGTGTACTCGCTCACCTCCCCTCCTCCCTCCAAGTGGACGAACACTTTCAGATAGTCGGCCAGGATGCAGCTGCAACGGAAAAGTAAAAGATAAAGGATTGCCGAGTCTTCGCAACTCTCACTTCCAGCGAAGAGCCACTTTGGCTAATTAAAAATGATTACCTACTTGCTTAGCGAGAACTGTTTCGAGGACGATTACCAAAGAATGAAATACTTAAAGATTTACATCCAAAAACTTGTTTTGGCGTTTTTTAAAAAGTACACGGAGAGAAAAGTATAATGCTGATTACTAGGGATGGGATTTTAGTTATTTTACCTTTTTTAACCGATGTAACTATTTGAAAACCAATAATGCCAAAATGTGTTTTAAAAGATTTTTTTTTTTATATGAACCTAATTTGTTTTTACCTTTTTTACCTTTTTTGGATGTTTTTGCTTTAAACTAGGTACCTTTTTACACTTTTGTTACATATTTCTTAATTTGTCAGTTTATTTTCACCTATTTGTTACCTATTTTTAAGTAATTTTACTTATTTTATTTTTTGTGTTCTTTTTAAATTTTGCTCCAATATTTTTTCTTATGGTCACAGACTGTAACAGTAACTTTCTTTGCAGTTACCTTCTTTGTAGTGAGCTTATGTTCTGTCATAGAACTTCTGTGTAGTGAGTGTCACTCAGTGAAACACAGTTTATTGCATAGAAATAGTTTATTGTGGGTATGTTCTGTGTTTGGGTATGCGGCTAAACAAAATTATAAAAAATTCCCAAAACCAAAGAAAATCCTCTAAATAAACTCAGCAGTTGGATAGAGGGGAAGAATAAGATATTTTCTATTGACGGAAAAACCGTATTTTGTAGAGTTTGCTGTAAAATTGTAAGGACTTTGAGGTTATGTTAAAACATCTTTCTTTAATTTATATACATTTTAGCTATCTGTTTGTTACTCTAGTAGTAAATTTGGTAAATATTCCCTGTTATATTTTCAGTTCCTTATAGCTTTAATTAACAGTCAGTTTATAAAAATAGTTATTTGTATACCAAGGCCGCGAAAACACTCTTTGGAGTACCGAGGGAAAAATTGCCGCCTCGGCCGCTTGCGGCCGAGGCAAGACAATCTCGAGGACTCTAAAGGGTTTCGAGGCTGTGGTGTAAATTTTTTGGGCAATTACCTACACGTTTTATTGCTACATTGGAAACTTTAATTATAATATATTATGTGACAGATAATAAATTAAAAATAATTCAAAAATCTAGAATGGTTTCCATGGAAATGGCAAACAATTAAATGAGATATAATATTTGACTGTAAAAGTTGTGTCAAAGAAAAGTAATAATGTTTAATTTTCAAAGTGATAGTGGTACTTCGATAACCGGAACTCCTCCGGAACTAAAAATTGCTGCGAATTCTGCAGTGTCGCAGTTAGTACCTGAAAAATCAAAGAGCAAGTATGAAATATAAATATACCTATAAGTGACATTTACTTTAACGGCCGTCGCTATGACAACGGCCGCGAAATATCATTTCGCGGCCGCTAAAGCGTCCGCGAAATGTTACTTCGCGTACGGTTGCCCAAAAAAATATTTTATGTTACTTATTTTATAAAAATAAATGAAACCTAAAATGCTGTTTTTTTATCCTAAAATGCTTTTTTTTAGTACATTTTTAGTTACCTATTTTTCAATTTTTAGTACCTAAATATCCCATCTTTACTGATTACCATAATTAAAATACCCTTTACTATAATTTATATTACTATTTCGGACAAGTATCTTGTATATTGCCAGATACTATGCATATTTAGTAATTTTTAAATATCCATGTATGTTAAATCTTAAGGTAAAATATTATTATTCTAAACCAATTTTGTTTTTAATTCTTATTATAATTAGATTTTTTCCATTACTAATAAGTATAGTTTAAATTTTAAAATATTATGTTGCATTTTAAATATAAAATATTTTAAAACCGAATATTTTTATATGTTAACAATTAAAAATTGTAACATATTTATTGTACTTTTTAATATACAAAAATATTATGAGAAAGAATTGAACCTACACCTCACCAAAGTTTTTTGTTATGAGTGCGTTTCATCAACTTCAAATACCGACAGACAGGTTTAGGGACAGGTTAGTGGAACACACCCAAAACAAAGAAATACCTGAGCTTATATAACATGGTTATAACAGAGGCGAGATGTAAGAACATCACGTGATCCACACCGTCTAGCGACGCGTCGCGACGTGGCCTTTGCCGCAATCGGTACAGACTATAGTCATATATGCATATATGCAACCAAGTAGGTTCAATTCTTTCTTATAAGTATTACCAGTAATGGGTCAAGAAAGTTTATTGAAGAAACTAAGAAAATTGAATGTTTAAAATGTCATTGTATATTATATTTAAATATATTGTTTATAAACAAAGCAACTAAAATGTGATTTTTAATGCATCATTGCAATGATTACATTCTGTTGTGATAATCTTTAAGTTTGAGAGATCTTCGCTATATATATATATACGAGGTGTGTTCAGAAAATATCGGGAATTTTAGTTTTTTGAAAAAAATGTTTATTTATTCGTTTACATTAATGTTGTCGCCTTCAAAATAGTCCCCATTGGATATTATGCACATGTGCCAGCTCTTCTTCCAATACTCGAAACACTTTTAAAACTCGATCTTTGGGATAGCCTTTAGTTCTTTCAGCGATGCGCTTTTAATGTCATCTATGCTTGCAAAACGACGGCCCTTTAAGGTTCTCTTTATTTTTGGGAATAGGAAAAAGTCAGACAGAGGCATTTCTGGCGAATATGGAGGCTGGGGCATCATTACAAAAATGTTTTTCAAAATTTAACAATTTTAGAACAAATTTTGCTGCCACGCGTTTCATACCCAAAATATTCGAAAAAATTTCATGGGATGGTTTATAACCATTTCTTCCACTTTTTCCATGTTTTTATCGGTTGTTAATGCGCTTGTGCGTTCGGGGCGTTCGTCATCTTCAACGTCTTCACGACCATCTTGGAAACTCTTATAGCACTTGTAAACTCTTGTTTTACTTATAGCAGACTCACTCACTATAGGCCTTTGTTAACATTTCACAGAATTTATTTCATTTTTTAAGCAAACTGAATACAAATTCTTTAATGCATTTCTTTTAACGAACGAAAAATCGCCGAGCTCATAAAATACGTCTAACCTTAGCGGCTGCCACAGACAAAGTAAACAATGAAAACAGCTAAAGTTTTTATCATACTTCGGGGGCATATATACCAACATAATAAAGAAAATTTTATGACAACCGGACCCTCCGAACCCGCGAAATTTAACAATTCCCGTTATTTTCTGAACATACCTTGTATATAGATAGTGAATACCGCCAATAATTTTTTTATTTATATCCAAATTTTTATTATTTTAGAATAGAAGAGGCGTCGGTTGTTTTTTTAACAGAAGATTCCTATCAACCTGCTGTTCACAATGTAAATGAGAATGGCGAACCAGTGTTGTCCATACTCCAAACGTTAAATAGCAATATCGACAATTTACGAACTTTAAGTCATGACATTGAATAGTCATTTTGTACAAAATCAAATGACCGATCTTAAAGACAGGAAACACAAATAACATTGGCGTATTTAGATCCTTCAGAAGAACACCTATATAATATAAATATTGATAAATTTTTTATTATTTAAAATTTGTTATTTATTAACAAATTCATTGTTTTGTGTAAAAAACAAACTTTTACAATAATTAAATATTCAATTTTTATTGCTTTAAATTTGTTTCTTATTAACAAAGGTTTTATTTTTATGCAATATGGTATAAATTTGTTTTAAATAAATACATTTTTTACTTTTAATAAATGTATTTTATTTATTAATATTGTAAGATCGTAGTAAAAAATAAATATATTATTTATTAAAAAACATACAAAAGCAAACGCTTTATTACATTTAAATGGGATGTTTATAAACCCTTTATGCAATAGGGCATTTATTAAATATAAATAAACTGCTTTATAAAAAAAAACTGTTTTCTCAGTTAGTTCATTTCATTTAAGAATGGAGCTGCAAAACGAAACAGGTTTACACAGGAGAACGCGGTAAATTTATATATACACTGTTATAAAAATTAAATTTGTTACCAGAGTAGTTTGTTAATTTTATTTTGAAAAATGTTATCATAATTTTTTGTAGAAAACCAGGGTTTGAATTTATTTTAACAAAGAAAAATATTTTACCAAAAGTATTGTAAAGCATTTTGTTTATTTTGTTATAACATTATAATGTTTAACAAAATCCCACTGACAATACCTACGCATCAACAAGTTCAACTGCCTTCTGCCCTATCATTATTCTGCATAATATATTATTATAATATTCCCTGTAGGAAAAAAAAGTTTAGGGACAATTTTTGCAGGAAACTCGAAGCACTATAAATAACGTACCAAGATTCTTCAACACACTCAATTAATCGCTAAATTTAAGCTAAAATAGCTTAACTTTTATGATATTCTTAATTTCATGATCTATAGCTATAGCTTTTGACTGCAAATAAAATTTTTTACTTCGCTTCAAAAAGTTTTGATATAATGAAAATGGATTTTTTTTAAAAACATTGCTATTTCCAATATTTTTCTGTATGAAGAACTAAGGTTGCTATGGTCCATCCATAACCTATGGAGAATGACAGTGACAGTTTTGTTGAATCATCCCATACTTGGACATGTCATATACGGGTGACGTTCATAATATCGAAATTCACTTTATCGAATTCAAAATATCGAACACTTTTTATCGAAAATCAAAATATCGAAAATACAAAATGTCGAAAATCAAAATATCGAAAATTAAAATGTCGAAAATGATAATATCGAAATTTTATTTAATCGAATTTTCAATTTATCGAAAATAAAATATCGACGTTCATAATATCGAAATTCACTTTATCGAATTCAAAATATCGAACACTTTTTATCGAAAATCAAAATATCGAAAATACAAAATGTCGAAAATTAAAATGTCGAAAATACAAATACTTTTATTTTTACAATTAATGTGAA